CTCTGTCTAGCTGTCTGTCTGCCTTTCTATCTATCTCTCTCAGTCTGTCTGTCTGTCTATCTTCCTATCTGTCTGTCTATCTATCTATCTATCTATCTAAGTCTGTCTGTCTGTCTATCTATCTATCTGTCTGTTTGTCTGTCTGTCTATCTCTCTCAGTCTGTGTCTATCTATCTATCTGTCTGTCTATCTATCTATCTATATATCTGTCTGTCTGTCTGTCTGTCTCTCTCAGTCTGTCTGTCTGTCTGTCTATCTATCTACCTATCTGTCTGTCTATCTATCTATCTATCTAAGTCTGTCTGTCTGTCTGTCTATCTATCTGTCTATCTGTCTGTCTGTCTGTCTCTCTTCCTATCTGTCTGTCTATCTATCTATCTATCTATCTAAGTCTGTCTGTCTGTCTATCTATCTATCTGTCTGTTTGTCTGTCTGTCTATCTCTCTCAGTCTGTGTCTATCTATCTATCTGTCTGTCTATCTATCTATCTGTCTGTCTATCTATCTATCTGTCTGTCTATCTCTCTCAGTCTGTGTCTATCTATCTATCTATCTATCTATCTATCTATCTCTGTCAGTCAGTCAGTCAGTCTGTCTGTCTATCTATCTGTCTGTCTGTCTGTCTGTCTGTCTATCTGTCTGTCTGTCTGTCTGTCTGTCTGTCTGTCTGTCTGTCTGTCTATCTATCTATCTATCTATCTATCTATCTATGAGTAATTAGTAATATATAATGCAATATTAAACTTCAGAGTAATTAGTAATTATATAATGCAATGATAATCACTTTGTGACATTTACCATTGCATTTTTCTATACATTTAATGATGCTATAAAATAAAATATTCATATATTTCAGAGAAACGCGAAATAAGGCTTTATCAATACTCACGATCACTCAATCCACTCAGATCTCATTCTGCTGTCAAGTCTCCTTCAAACACGCAGCAGCCGGTTTTCTGGTGCGTCGTCTTTCAGCTTCCCCCCTGAAACGCCACGAGGAAAGTTACGCTCACATTGGTTCCGGGCTGGATGTGTTATGCACGACCTCAGCGCTAGATGGCAGAGAGGTATTGGATGAAAACTACAGCTGTAGCTCAGTCGTTCTTGAGACGTGGGACAAAACAGGTCCAGCAAGGGTAACTGCCATTAGCTTAAAAAAATACAAATATTTTCCATTTTAAATGTCATGAGGGATTAATAATAGAACGTATTTAACACAATTATCACCTTCAATTTAATTTTCTCATTATTATACCAAATCTGTGTTTCTTAATGTCTCTCACTACGTCTAAAACAGTGTGTCCACAGAGAAGGGTTCAATCATTCATATGCAATAAAATGGATAAAAATGTTTTTTAATGATGAAAAAGAGCTTGTTTTATCAAAAGCAACACTTAATAATATCTCCTATCAAAGCAACTTTTTAATGACACATGCATGTTTCATAAGATTTTAAAGTTGCGTCCCCACTTTTTGTCAACACCGTCAGACATTCAATAAAATGTAATAAAATCAGGGAATATGAGGGGCAGCTGTCACTCTAAAGGACCCCCTTGCCACAGTTCACCTCTGCAGCAGAGTACATCAGTGTCAGACAGGCTCTGCTAAGTTTTATAGTTTTAGAATATTTTAAATCCTAATGTTAATGTTTCCTGTGTCACAGCCATATGTCAACACCATCTTCCAATTTCTGAGGAAATTCTTTGCAATATTTAGATAATTGTATTCTCCTGAAGCAGGTTCCGTTAGCATCTAGCATCAACAGAAAATAATAAAATGGCTACTACATGAACTCCATTGGTTTTGTGAAAGAAATGCCAAATTTGTCAACACCATCATAAGATTTTGTGTTCCAATGATATATCAAAAAACTTCAATGTGACTCTTGAATAACAGCTTTATAAACAATAACATACTCACTGTTGTGTTTAATACACTAATTGACTGATTCAATGTATTTGATAGCTAAAATTACTACAAATTCAGGTTTTCGTCACCTCCGTCAGTTGAATATTTTGATAATATTTCATTATGATATTTTATATTTGTTGTGGAATTGTCGGTCACATGTGAAAGTGTAATCTGTCTGCTAACACCAGAATGTGTTTTGAAATGTTAAAAACATCTTGAATGCTGTTAAAGATCAAGTTGAAATTATATTACACAGTCCAAGGTAAAAAAATAAAAAAAAGCACATTTTGTTAAAAAAAGAGAAAAGCTGGGAGGTTGTATCAAAGCATAGCTCAGTAGCTTAGTACACATAAGATACATAAATGTAGTTTCATTTGTCTGAGTACACGGTTTTATTTTTTCAATGTTGCACCCTGTTTTGTCCCACTTCTCAAGAATGACTTGGCTGTCAAAGTTCTGTTTTTACTTCATCTTTAACCGGGGTCTAGGACGGTGAACTCAACTATACAGTACTAGCGACGGAGCGCGACTTATTTCAGTTTCGCTTCGTGCAGTTAGAAGTGCAAATCCTTGAATCTCGCGCTCTCAGTCTTAACTGTACATGGACGCGGTGCCTGGAGGAAATCCAGCCCGTGAGCTCTTGCCTCGTGCGATAGATGCACTCTCTGCTCATTTCCTGGATTCGTGATTTTACAGTTGCTACAACTTCTGCAATCCTCAGTGGCTGCTCCGCATGTGTGTGCTGTGCGAGGATCCCGCCAGCTCTTGGCAATGCTGTTGACAGCATACATGGAGATATGCGTTGCGTTTCTGCCAGTGGGATTTACTAGTATAATCCAGTATTTGACAGATCTGTAAGGAGTGTTTGACTCGGCCATGGACGGATCTACGAATAGTCTTGGTGAGTTTTGTTGATGTTTATGTCTATGTGATGTGAATATAAACGATAAACGTAAAAAGTGTATTGTTGTAGAACCAACTAACTAGTTGTAGCAAAACGCTTTGGCAACATTTCTGAGCATGAATAGGTTTTTAAACTTATTTAAGTATTTTGAAGTATGTGGCAACTTCAGGGTGTACATTAACAGTTACTGACACTATCAGACTTCCCTAGCAAAAATATATTATGGTAACCAAGTTTCCGACAACATATAGTTATGACAGTTATTGTTGTATTATAACTAAGCTGGTATTATTTGATGGTAAAACAGCATTTTAAACAAGCCTAAACTGGTTTTAGCTAGTGTCCTAGCCTGGCCAGGCAAGCTGGTTTTTAGCTGGGAAGTCTACAGTAGATAGTTGAAAAGTGCACAAAACCCCTCTAAAACCAGACAACAGGCCTGACCAGGCAGAGAGACCAATACATTATTTTAGGCTTAAGAGAGAGCACTGACATTGAAAATAAATTCAAATTAAAGAAAGATTCTAATAAATTCTTACCCATATTATTTGATTATGCTTTTTTAAAGTAACACAAGCCGTAGAAACAGTGGTGTTTTGAAGGAACCATTATTATTATTATTATTATGTTAGTCCTCTTTAGCCATTTGTGCACTATTGGATATCAAATTAATAAATAATCTATCGTTCTATACATGTTGATTGCATGTTTAAGTGTTCATATCATGCAGACTTCTGTGACATACCTACAACAACAACAACGGCCGCAGTTCATTGCGTCATTTTTGTAAAAAAAATAAATAAATTCCAAGCAATCCAAGTTTCACTTCCTCCGTTGGCTTTCATGGTTATCTCATACTGTCTCTTTCCCTACTTTTAATGTTTCTGACACTCTATGGCAAGCCATTTTAACAGTTATTTGTTAACACTGACAAGTATCTTAAATAATAAGTTATAAATAAATTAAAGTTAAATAATTAACAAGTTTAGTTAGTTTAGTAATCCAAAACTTGATAGCAACTCTTCAGCTATACTCTTCGGTACTTACTATTATTACATTTTTTTATTACATGCTGATATTTATTTATTTTGTAAATAGTCACTTTGCTAATTGCAACAAATATATTTTTCAGTTGTTGCTGGTTATAGTCCAGTTTTACTAGTACTTATTTATTGGATACTAGTACCCTGTTATCCACCCTGATACTTGCTAGTAACATTTCAACTAGAGGTCTGCGCGGGCTGTTTTTTTAGTCCCGCTCCCGCAAGGTTCTATTCCGCACCCACCCGCTCCCGCTATATATTCATTCTTTGTTCACCCGCTGTCCGCTTAGAATAATTTTCTTCCCGACCCGACCGTTCCCGCTAAATTTAGATCTCGTTTCCAGAATCTCACATTTAAATTTCCGCTACTGAAAGAAAGAGAGATAGGCTGACAAATAAAAGTGTAGTCTGCACAAAAGTGTGTATTCGTCTTGTCAAGAGTCTTGAATTTATTGACTTTGACTTGAATGTATATGAATTATCTTAAGACACAAAATTAGTTTAATATTTTATGCAACACAGTAGGAAAAAAAAGTGTCAGAGAAAATAAAAATGAACAAAAATTGTATTTCTTATTTTTATTCATCTTGTCAGGATACAATTCGTTTAACATTGACAACACAATAGGGAAAAAGTGTCGCAGAGAGAGAAAAAAAATGTAGGTCGTACAAAAATAGCCTATTAGCTATTTTTATTCGTCTTGTCAAAATACTAAATTCGTTTGACATTTTTCTGTTAACACTGTAGGAAAAGTGTCACAGAGAAAAATGAATAAATACGACATCTTTCATTTAAAATTATAGGCTAAGCAAAATATAAACAAAACCGAGTTAAAACGTCCTTCAAGGACAGCGCATCAACACTTTGCTCCATCCTTATTCTGCTCTCTCACTCATCAACAACCTGCCTATTCTGTCTGAGGGCCGTATATTTACCACAGGTACAGCCTGCTCTGAGCATCGTTATGCACATGCTACGCACAGACCACGCAAATAAAACACGTGACGTTTAAAGCATGCGTACATAACAGTCCTGAGCGCAAGCTGTACCGATGGTCAATAAGAATAAAGCGCACTTATGCTGTTCTAAATGGCCGTCGGGAACGGGATATTGTTAGACCGCCCGCTCCCGTTCAAATTACACCAGAGTTACCGACCGCTACTGCGTTTTATTCGGGAATTTAATCCCGCGGCGCAAAAAATTCGGTCGGGTCCCGCGGTTCCCGCCGGAGAGCCACGGGAATGCAGACCTCTAATTTCAACCTCACTTGTTACAACTGTGCTTTTTCTTTTTATATATACTGACTAGTCAGGATGACCACTTTATAGTTTAATGAAACACTTTACTTGTATGATTAAAAATGTTTCTATTAACAATTGGAATCCATATTCAATCACTACTAGAAAAAAACTAGAATAAATGCTTAAAATAACTATTAGTCAGATTGAAAACAATATAAGTAAGCATTGAATTACTTACTAGTATTTTAAGCGTAAGTATTAGTTGCATGAAATAGATACTAGTTATTATTAATGAGTAAATGTTTACTCGGCTTGCCATGTGCTTGGTGTCTAGACAGCTTTCTTGGTTATAATGGGAGTGTTGTATTTTGTGACATTGCTTGCAGTCTAGGTTTTCAGTGTTGAATGGGTGTCTGCAATGGTGACACCGCATGTGCATTTGTTTTGTTGGTAACATGCTGGGCCAGTGGAGAGCAGTAAATGTCATGCAGGAAGCCCTCTGGCATCATGCTTCTACCACAGATGCTTAATTTCTACCAGCTTGTCTTTCTGTGATGGGCTCTCTGTCTGTCTCAAGTGCCTCAAAGTCTGCATCATGTCAGAAGAGATGATTGCCAAAAATGTCAGATAACTGGGGCAATCACAATGATTGGCAAGTTGACACTGTGTCGAAGTGTTTGATTTTCCACATGTGCGGAAGCAGTTTGTAAATGCATAGATTTTAGGTTTGAAATTTTCGATGAGATGCAACTTATGCAACTGATGCAAGGAACTTGAATCAGAATATTAAATTATTAAAGAGTTAGTTTAGATTTACATAGTGATCTGTTTTAAATGGAACTTTGTCATGCTTTCTGAAACCTTGATATATGAATGTAAA